CCTTAGAGCCTCGAGTACCTCTCTTTTTCCAAAGGAGGTGAGAATCTCCGAGGATTGGGCAATCAGCAGGAAACCAACAGCGAATCTCGCTGAGTAGGATCCTCAGAGACTACACGTAGAGTGTCCTGTATATTTTCTCTCTACATCTAAGGGTTAATTTTATTCAACTTAAATTAGTAATGCTCAACTTAGTAATGAAGGCCCAGGAAGACCGTTTAAATCTCGTTAACTATCAACCCTTCTTAACTACAGGGTAGGGAGCAAGGAGAGTCTTCAATGGGATGTACTTATTTTCAATAAAAGGTCTAGATTTTATTATGTGGCAGGCAGTTTGGGATATGATGAATCGGAAGGATCACCTTAAGGTGGGAGGTATTGAATTAAAGATAAAGTATGTTTCGTATACTATAACTTCTAGATTTGACCCCTACACACGGTAGAGTAAACATAGGGGTAGCTCGAAGGGGTATAGGTAACTAGGGCATAGTGACCCGGTGATACATTATGGAATGCTCATCGATCAACGGATAATAGCTACTTCTTAATCCCTAAGAGTGGCTCCTGCAAGATTACTAGACTGGAAAATGCAGGTAAATACTACTGTATGCTGGAAACCCCTTAGAGCCCTTGGTCCGAAGACCTTCGGGGGAAGACGGAACAATTCAAGGGATTGGGCAATCAGCAGGAAACCTTTACCGAGAAGGGATCCTCAGAGACTATACGTAGTAGACTAAATTTGTTCTAATTAGTTAAGATATAGTCCCCTCTCAATAGAAATATTGAGTGAGTCCAAGGACTCACTAAGATGTGTCCAATCGTTCTGTTTGCATAATTGGGAAACCTTATTTAAGCTACATAATTTAGTACTTAGAAGTTAATTAAAATTCTCTGCTTTAACCATGTTCTATCCTTCAACTAAAGCCATGCTAGACTTGGCTAACTCTCTTAAAGCCTTTAAAGGCCTTATTTCTTTTCCTGATCCTCTGTTTGATATAACTGTAGGTTTAATGCTAGGGGATCTTAGTGCCGTTAAACGGTACCCCTCGTAGACTAACAGTTTGGCAGTCTTAAAGTTATGTCAGTCCTATAAACACCTTGACTATCTTATTCATCTATATGATTTGTTCTCTCTTTATGTATCCTCGCCACCACGAGTATATGAGATTGATCGTTATTCAGGTTCTTATCTACAGGTTTATTTTCAAAGGTTAAGTTTTCCTTTCTTTGATCAGCTCTATTTTTTGTTTTATGATCCTATCTCTGGGAAAAAGGAAGTTCCTGAGAATATAGGTAATCTTTTGACTCCTCTCGGTCTCTCTTATTGGTTTTCAGATGACCCCTCCGGCCCAAGGACGGGGCGCCCTTGGTGCCTACGGCCGGGGGAGCTAAGGCTGGTTATGGCCTTCTTCTTCATACTGATGGATTCTCTAAGGAAGACGTTGTTTTACTTATCTCTGTATTGGATGCCAAATTCGGACTTACAGTGTAGTCTTTACCAACACAAAGGTCAGTATGCTATTTATATATCTGCTCATAGCAAAGAGCGATTTATTGGGCTCATCTACACTTTCCTTCATCCTTCTATGAAATCAAAATAATTTAGAGTAGCTTAAAAAATTCCCCCAGCTGCAGCATAGAATGCAACTGCAGGGTTATGCAAAATAAAGGGCATATGGCTAGATACTTAAGCCAAAGTCTTAGAAGATATTAGACTCAAGGGATAAATTTGTCCCACTTAGTTGTGAGGCTAAGTTTAAAAACTGGGTGAATTGCAAGGATTCCTCCAAGTAGGAGGGTATTTGCAGCGAAGCTCTTCTCGGCATAAGCTTTTAGCTTCAGGGTAGAGAACGTTCAACGACTAGACAGTGAGTAATGCCAACAATAAACTGTCCACGAGCGCCCAGCACTTAATGGGGATAAGGGGGGTCAAATCTAGAAGTTATAGTATACGAAACATACTTTCTCTTTAAATTTATGAATATTAGTCCTAATAGTAAAGGTGAGCTAAAAGCCAAATTAGTAGGTTTAACTAATGTGCAGTTTGAGGCAGCCATAGGCTTAATTTTAGGTGACGTCTCCATTCAATCCCAAAAATAAGGGAATAACGTATCGGCTTAAATTTGAATGGGGTGACCTTAAAGATGATGCTTTCCATGTGTATGATTTATTCAAGGAGTGGATCCTTACTGAACCTAAAGCTCAAACTCGCATCAACAGCAATGGGAATGAAGTTATCACTTGGCGCTTCCAAACCTTTAGCCATGAAGCATTTAACCCTTTAGCTGAACTATTCCTCAGGGTCCAGTTTTCCAAGGGAAAACAAGGGAAAAAAATGGTTAAAGACGGACTAATAAGGGATCACCTTACTCCAATACTCATAAAAAATACCCCCCACATTAAGTTGATGACATAGTCTGAACTTGAAGGTGACTTCAAGAGGTGGAAGATAAAGAGCTTTCACGTTAACAAAAATTGAACAGGCTGATCCCCCACGAGAGTCCATATTGACTGGGGGGGTTGGCACCTCTTCATCGGGGCCACATAAGGGTAACCTTGTGGTGAGCACAGGCTATATGCTGGAATACCCTTAGAGCCTCGAGTACCCTGAGCTTTGACTGGCAACTCACCTGGTCACAGGGTGACAATCTTTGAGGATTGGGCAATCAGCAGGGAAGCGTTGACCTTTGTTCATCGCCCCTCAACGACTACACGCCTGCACCCTTCTGGGTGATGATATAGTCTGAACTAATTGGAAACAGTTAGAAGGGTGTTAAAGCTATGCTTCACCTCTCATCTACCTGCAACATGGGTTAATCCATGGTGAGTCTATGTGGCAACCCTGCACTGATGAGTAACACACAAAGCGATGTCGGCTCATCCTATCCTAGAGCTGTATAAGGTTCTAAGGGTTCGGCTGTTCGCCGAGTAAAAGGGTACGTAACGTGCCGTCTCTGTTCGTAAGAACAGGGTTATAACTCTACTATATGCTGGAAATCCCTTAGAGCCTCGAGTACCTCTCTTTTTCCAAAGGAGGTGAGAATCTCCGAGGATTGGGCAATCAGCAGGAAACCAA